GTGTATTATTTCGACCTCGAGTACATAGAGGTGTTCAAGGAGCATTAATTGTTTCACCATGCATAAAATATCAAAAATTTAACGAGGTTTCAAAGGCTCATGAAATTAGAATTTGGCATAAAGACGCAATTAATGCGTCACAACATTTTTTAAACTCAAAAGAGAGAAAAAAATTGAGTGTTCATGAGCAAATAGATTCGGCATTTAATAGAGAAATAGAAGAAAACAGGGGGAAACTTCGTTCTATCATATCGTCAATCTTATTTTGTGCAAAGCACGATCTTCCACTAAGAGGTAAAAATAATAAAGGTTCAGTTTTTACAGATTTATTAAAATTCCGTGTCGAATCGGGGGATGAAGTTTTGAATAAGCATTTAAAGTCTGGAGCTAAAAATGCGTTGTATATCTCACATGAAGTTCAAAATGAACTAATTAAAACTTGTGCTAATGTACTTCGACAAAACATTATTGAAGAAGTGAAACTTTCATCTGTTTTTTCGTTCTTAGCATACGAGACTGCCGATATAAGTGGCACCGAACAATTGTCAATAGGTGTTAGGTATTTGTTTTACGACATTAAGTTTCAAAAACACAAAATTTGTGAAGAATTTCTTGGTTTCTCAGCTCTTACAAAACTAGATTCTAAATCCGTTGCCAAAACCATCATTGAATTTTTAGAAAGTTGTAATTTAGATTTGAATCGAATTGTGGGCCAAGGATATGAAGGATGCGCTACAATGGCTGGGCATATAAGTGGTGTTCAAAAATTAATTAATGAAGCTTATCCTATGGCACTATTCTTCCATTGTGCTAGTCACGTATTGAATCTTGTATTTAACGATTTAAATAACGTAAGTGAAGTAAGAAATAATACTTTTTTTTAGAGAGAGCACATTGCGTAGACAAATTATTCCCAATATTCCTTTACTTTGTGAAACTCGTTGGTCACCAAAATATAAGAGTATTAGAATTTTTGCTGACAATTTTATTGTTATTGTAAAAGCTTTGGAAGAACTATCAAAAAGTACAGCAAATTCAAAAACCAAAATTTAATCTTATCAACTCTTTACTGCTGCTACTACACCAGCTTTTATTGTTACATTGCAAGTAATAGCTGTTTATTCCGCTAAATTTGAACCAGTATGCAATCTACTTCAACAAGTTAATATGAATTTGAAAACGGCGAACAATCACATAACCAAACTAGTTGATATTTTGCAGTTGTATAGAAATGATTCGTCGACTGAATTTACCGTATTATTTGCAAAATCTAAAGAAATCGCTGAAGAACTTGATGTTGAAATACGTCCACCTCGAGTAGCTGCACGACAAAGTCAAAGATCAAATCATCCATCTACAAACCATGAAGAGTTTTTCAGAATATCCATTTTCGTTCCTTATCTAGATTCTGTTATATCATCATTGAAAGATCGCTTTTCTAAAATTCACAATCAATCATTTTCTCTAATGGATCTTCATCCCTATGCTATGAAAAACATGAGTAAAGGACAGTTTATTTGCACATCAAATGATATTGTAAAACCCTATAGAAATATTTTGTCATCGAATTTTACAACTGAAGCCACAACATGGTATGAAATGTGGAAGAATGGCACAAAACCATTAGATTCTATTGAATACTTAGATTTGATCGAAATGTCAAAAGATTTTTATCCAGCTGTAGCCGACGCAATCAAGATCGTAGCAACTCTTCCAACAACAACTTGCAGCATTGAACGTTCATTCAGTTCTTTAAGACGAGTCAAGACATGGAACAGAGCCACTATGGGTGATGACCGATTGTCCGGATTGTGTATGATGAGTGTACATAGAAAGAGACTAGAAGAGGACACCAAGTTCATTGAAAATTCAATTGAAGAATTTGGAAAAAAACCTAGGCGTTTACAATTATTATTTAAAAAATAAGTATTATAACACATGATATAAATAATATATAGACAACATTGTAAAATAAGTATAAATGTATAATAATAAATAATAGAAATAATGTAGATAATTATGCAAAATAAAATAGTTGTAATACCATTCAATTTTTTTAATTTAATTTTGTAATTTTTTTTTTTTTGTCAAGCCAAGGGGGTACAAATGCACCCCCCTCACGGCGCCCATAGCTTTAAATTATCCTGAACTCCTGACACACCTTAAGAGTATAATCTATTGAATACCGCTCAGCCAACTGTAAGCTCAAACTATTAACTTTATCCAATAAATCCTGTCCTCTGTCTTCTAATTCTTTCCTCGATCTAATCTCTTCCACAAGCCTTCCATGAAGTCTAAGTTTCCGCGGAGTATTGGCTGAAAGATGCTTAGGTGTTTGAACACCCATGCTACTCACTTCAATTTCAAACGATGTTGATGCATCTGATGTGGTGACTGACATGTTAACAGTAGACAAGTCTAAGAATAAAAATAAAAATATAATTATTACTTACTTCTTATAACTAATTTCTAAAGTTTGATTTTGATGCGGTCCCGCGTGATGGCAGTTTGAATTGGCCTTTACGCGGAAATCCGCGCTGAACCTCTCAAACAACCGCCAACCGACGACGGACGACACCGGCATACGACATTTCACGAACTCAGTAAAATCAGTAAAATACCTAAGAAGAAAAAATATTTTATAGTTCATATCATAGACTATGTACTGGCCGGCATCCACGCGACCGCGCTTTAGGCGTTAGTGGCATTACTGCATTAGGCTTAGTTTTTTCTTTTTAGTTAAATTATAAGTTTATGATTCAATAAATAATTAACTAAACCATCATTCAATAATAAATAATAAATAAGATATTAAATAAAATAGACAATAGGTGTGACGTGTATTATATCATAAGTGGTTCAATGCATGACTATATAATAGCCATGGTTCAATGTAGTTTATGAGGTATTTATTTTATGATTTTTTTTATGTTTTTCTGTGCTAAAAAATTAAATTTTAGATTTCCGTTTTTCTGCTCTATTCATTTCTCTTATATGTATGTACATTCTTGTTCGAACTAGGCATTCTACAACTTCATTTGGGATGCATTTTCCATTGACATGCTGCTTAACTATTGTGGTTAATTGATGTGCAATACCCTTTTCATTGTCAAACGCTTGAATAAAGATACTCTCTAAAACTTTTGACACATTCAGAAGATCTTTTGACGGACAAGTCAGGTATCCTAAAAATAATGAAACAGCATATTTAATTATTTCACAACAAATTTCCGGAGTACAGAGTACAAACGACAAAATATAACCTTTTGATATGTAAGACATCCACGATCCACTTTCAAAGTTTGTTACATTGCTAGTATCTTCTAAGAATGGATATTTATTTTTAAATTTTTTAGCTACAGATCCAGATATATATATCAAATTATCTTCCTCGCATGGATCTTTTGAAGTGTATAACTCTTCAACAGTTTTCTAAAAACCACAATGGTATGTATTAACAATCTATTTATCAATTTTTAATTTGTTTATTGAATGCCTTGAATATCTTTGATACCTACCTGTAGTTCAAATGAATTTAATAGTTATAAATATTCATTTTCTATTGCTTCAGTCCCCGTTATTGTGGATTCTTCTAATATTTCAGAAGTCTGAAATATCTGTGCCGTAAGTGGTGTGTACATTTCCTTAAATTTGTCATTTGATTCCAGTAAACAACTTTCATTTCTACTATCTTCAGTATTAGTGTTTCTTATGAAAAATGCTGAAGAATTTTTTCCTAATATGTACCATCTTAGGCTTAAAACATAGATAATTAATTTTAATAAAGGCTATATTTTAGTAAGTTATTTAAAATTCAATATTACCGATATTTGAAATCTATAGGGGTTGAATGGTCATTAGGTCCTCCCATGAATCTCATAAAACTAAAAAAAGTTTTCTAATACCTAAATAAATGTAGGTACACACAATTAATTATTTTTATAAAAAAGTAGGTAGATAGAAAAATGTTTAATTACATCCTAGTTAAGCAGTCTTGTAATAATATATTCTATCCCAATAGAATCGTTAAGGTCTTTATAAAGGTTTCTTAAAGATAAATTTGAAATAAGAATTCTCTTTTGGAATGGCATAAGGTTTTTTTTCTTATGTACTCTCATTGTACTAATAAAATTATCCATCAAATTTAAAATATTGTTCTGCTCATCCAAATGTATTCCATATGCACTTGAATTGTCCCCTAACATTTGCTGAGAGTTATGAAGATCAAACCAGTTATTTATCAACAAAATTGTTTCTGAACACTAGATATAAACAATTTGATTAAGTATCTATACAATGTGATAATATCCAAACTCAGTAAATTTACTTCTTTCCAATTATATGTTAATGCACACATGTCTCCATAGTATTGCATTGCTTCAGCAACTGTCCTGGAAAGAAGTTGGGCCGCCGTTTTACTTTTTGATGTTGAACTCCACTGACATTTAAATGAAACTTTGTCACTTTGTAAGTAAAAGTCAAGTCATTTGAACCTTGTATTTTCAACAAAGATTCCAACAAACTTTTACCGATGTATTTATTACCTTAACAATTTAATAATAATACATCGTAATAAATAAAATATGAAGTAAACAAAATTATTTATATAAACTTAAAGTATTACCATTTTCAGTATCCATATTAAATTCATGATCAATGATGTTATTTCTAATCAGCTTCAATAAATGTGGTACATCGGCAAAGACATGGATGTTTTTACCAGTACTGGGATGTAAAAAACTACTTTTTGTGTGGGTAATTTTCAATAAATTCCACAAAGAAATGTTAGTAGGACCCATGTCACTTGTAACGGCTACTACATTATATACACAGTTGTATAATTTACTAATTATGTTGCTTAGTATTGAAGCAGTCATTGGTGTATCATAAGAATAATAGACTGGCTGCATCCAAGATTTAAAGAGTCCTCTAACCATGACCACTTGAACAGTTTGATGAGGTCCTAAAACTTGATCAACTGCTCTATTATAGCATACATCATGTCAGTGGCGGTTTTTGGAATTTTTTNTGCAGATCCAATGCGCATGACGCTGACGTCACGTACGCAAAAAATCTATAGAAGTTCCCGATTATAATGTTGCACAGCCCAGCCGTAGAGTGATATTATTCTATGAGCCTACCTCACTTGCCACCGCGATTCAAGAGCATACCTACTACTTTTAATCGTGCTTAAACACGTCATGTGCGATGTGCGGCGCGCGAAACATGCCATAAAACCATGTTCGATGTGATCACACACGGTGATTTCTTTTATGGTCAGTGGCGGTTTTTGGATTTTTTTCTGGGGGGGGGGGGTCCTTTAACATTATCTTATAATACATAATGACAAAAAAGTATAACCCATTAATAATAACTAAATATAATTTAATTCTTACATAAACGAAAAACTATAACATAGCATTTTAGTTACAATACAAAATCAACTTTTCGTTTTTTTTTTTATCAATTCGTCCAAAACTTCGTCAGCTGTTAATTTCAAATCTTTATAAATACACATCATAGCTAGACCATTTAATCTTTTCTGAAATATTAATTAAATTATGTTTAATATTTTAAAATATGAATTATGATTTCCTTAATTAATTAAATAAAATAAAATAAATTTAAATAATTAATTTTATAAAATCGACTTATCGTGATCGATACACAATGTTATATTATGCATTAAAAATCTACTAGCGTGGTTATAAATGGCTGTAAAGTGTAAATATTAGTAAATTTTATTTTTGTCCAAGAAAAAATAATAAATAAAACAATATAAAAATGATAATTTAAAATCAGTAAAACACAATTTTAGACTTTTGTAGAGACTTTCATAAACCATTGAAATTAAAATAATTTTTAAATTTTCTTAATATTTATCTAACCTAATTTGGCTACGCCACTTATATAATAGGTACCTATTCAATTTTTATTATAAATATTTAAATTTTTACGAACTTGAATTTTAAATATTTTTGAAAGTCGATTCAAATTGAATGGTAATCTTAAATTAAAAGAATATTTGTGAATAATAATTAGTAACTAATTCGTATTAACAACAAAATTAAAAATTTACAATTTAGACTTCGACAGGCGCGATGCACGACAGCTGAAAAGTGAAAGTATTGAAGCCAGGGGAAAAAACTATCAGATTATTTTAGACTCGACTTAGTTTTATTTTGCAGTTGCTCAGTGCACGTCAGTGTCGTAGTACGTAGTCGTCGCGAGTGCACGTATATCAATGTAATGGCTCCTCCGAAAATAAGAACGTATATCGATGATTATGTCAAATTTGGTTTTACGTTTATTGAAAAGATGGTGTCCAAAAGCCTCAGTGTGTTATTTGTCACGTTGTATTAAGTAACGATGCCCTCCGACCTAGTCGACAAGAACGACATTTAACCACAGCTCATCCGATGCTAAAAGGAAAACCTAAAGAGTTTTTTGTTGCTAAAAAAAATTCTTTAAGTATAATGAAAATTGACCATACCGGAGAGTTTCAACAGAATAATGAAAAAATTGTTGAAGCTTCATATCACATCGCCTTCATGGTGGCTCAGCAAAAGAAACCTCATACCTTGGGTGAAACATTAATTAAACCTAGCATACTTAAAACTGTTGAAATAGTACTTGGCGCAGAAAGCAAAAGGAAAATAGCTCAATTATCTCTTCCAGATAATACAGTGAAACGACGTATAGATGAATTAGCTTTGGACATTAAAAATCAGTTGATTCATAAATTAAAACATTCCGTATTCTTTGCAATCCAGTGTGATGAATCAACTGATGTGGCCAATTGTTGCCAGCTATTAGTTTACTGCCGTTTTATAAATGAACAGTCCATCGCAGAAGAACTTCTATTTTCCCAGGCTTTAAATTCCACCTCAAAAGGCAGTGACGTTTTGTCTGCCATTGACATATTTTTTGATCAGAATGGTTTGTCTTGGAAAAATGTTGTAGGTGTCTGTACAGACGGTGCACCTGCAATGCTAGGATCAAGATCGGGTTTTGTAAGCCTAACAAAAAATAAAAACCCGTCAATAATTGGTTCTCATTGTGTAATACACCGACAAGCTTTAGCTGCAAAAACGCTGCCATCTGAACTTAAAAATGTACTTGAAGTATGTATAAAAGTTGTTAACACCATGAATAAATAAACAGGCATGATCACTAGATTATTTCACGCAGATTATTTATTCCCCAGACTTGGAAGAAAAACTATATATCATGGAGAAAAAGTTATTCCCACTAAAATATTATTTCATTCCAAATTATATATAATATTATAATAATATATTAAGATTACTATATTATTATAATACTAGCTGCTTGTGAAACTCGGGGGCTTGTGAGACTCGGCGATGCAGGCGTCAATGTCGTTGAAATTACTTTTAGAAGTCACTCCTGTTGACGTCATGGGTAGTTAAAAAACAAAAATTTAGGAGGTGATAACGATTTTTGATAAGTCTTAGAGATCTCGTTTCGAGCGCGGGAATGTTTGAAATTTCACTTCACCCACGAAAATCGGCAATTGAATAACACGGTTCCCCGTCGCATGTCCT